AGTACGTCGGGGTCCCTGGCCTGGGGGGCTAGCAGGGAACTCATCCCGGTCCCACGGGGATCTCCTGTGGCCCTTGCTGGCCCGGGGGGCTGGTGGGGTCCTGAATCCCAGCCCCAGGGGGCTCTCGGTTTTCTTGTTCCCAGGGGTCGGGGAACGTGGGAACCCTTGGCAGAGTCCCAAGGAGGGCGGTGGTGTGGGGTAGGGGTGTCCCCGGGGTACAGGTGAGGGTGTCTGGGTGATGGAAGCTGGCAGGATTTGTCCCACTGCCACAAGCAGCTTGGCTTCACCTGCCACACCCAGCTATTGGGAAAAAGTTTGGCGTGGCTGCTCCTCCCCCAGCAGCACCCGCTGTTGTCTGGCCCTAAGGGACCCTGGCAGCCCCAATCCCACACAGAGCTGCGCCACACCCCCGGACCCTCACCTAATGCTGCAGGTACGACCCTTTCTCCTTTATTTTGGCAGATGCGATGGTGACCTGTTCTCTACCTGTCTCCACCCCTCTCGGTGTCGAACACCATTGATAACCCCATGCTGGTGGCACTGCATAGCATGGAGCTGTTGTGCCACACGTGCCTCTTGCTGGTGTTCACCCTGGTCCCGCTGGGTGCTGGCGCCTGGCAGTGTCCCCGCATCCCATACAGCTCCACTAGGAACTTCTCTGTCCCCTACACGCTGCCCAGCCTCGATGCCGGCAGCCCCGTGCAGAACGTTGCCATCTTCACCGACTCAAATGGCCCGGCTGCCGTCTTTGTGGCCATTCGCAACCGCATCCTGGTGGCCAGCCCCGAGCTGCGCCTCCTCTCTGTCCTCGTCACCGGCCCAGTGGGCAGCGCCGAGTGCGAGATCTGCCGCTTGTGCCCAGACACAGGTGATGGCCCCGAGGACTCGGACAATGTCCTGCTGCTGCTTGACCCACTGGAGCCGTGGCTGTACAGCTGTGGCACAGCACAGCATGGGCTGTGCTACCAGCACCAATTGGAGGTGTGGAACGGTGAGGTGGCCATCACAACCACGCACTGCCTGTACACAGCCACAGGCAACAGCCCCGTGTTTTGCCCTGACTGCATGGCCAGCCCTCTGGGGACAAGTGCCACTGTGGTGGCCACCTCCTATGCCTCTTTCTTCTATCTTGGCTCTACCATCAACAGCAGTGTGGCAGCGCGGTACAGCCCACAGTCAGTGTCCGTCCGCAGGCTGAAGGGCACCTTGGATGGCTTTTCAGACGACTTCCAGTGGCTGACAGTGCTGCCGCAATACCGGGACAACTACACCATCCACTACGTGCACTCCTTCGCCGATGGGGACCACGTCTACTTCCTGACGGTGCAGCCAGAGCGGCCGGGCTCAGCAACG